AAACCATCCTAAACCCCCAAACCCTAAACCATCCTAAACCCCGACACCCTAAACCATCCTAAACCCCTGAACTGGAGCGAGCCGGCAAAGAAAAGGGAGCCTGACGATGCACCTGCGTTCCCCTTCGCCTCCTCGCGGAACCTTTTAGCTCTGCAAGCACCCAGACACTGCTCGGGGTGTTCCGGGCTTAGTACGTGTTTAGGGCTTAGGGTTTGGGGTTCGGGGTTTAGGGTTTAAGGGTTAAGGGTTTAGGGTTTAGGGTTCGGGGTCTAGGGTTTAAGGGTTAAGGGTTTAGGGTTTAGGGTTTAAGGGTTTATTGTTTAGGGTTTAAGGGTTTATAGGGTTTAAGGTTTTAAGGGTTTAAGGGTTTAAGGGTTTGGGGGTTTAGGGTTTGGGGTTTGGGGTTTAGGGTTTAGGGCTTAGTGTGCGTTTTGGAATCAAGCTGTTTTGTCTTAGTTCGTTCGTTGTTTGAGGGGGCTTTCGCGTTGAGGGGTTTGTTATGCCCCAACGGTGGGACCGTTACAAGTAATTTCGTTTCCCATCTGACTCGACATGAAATCCCGAATGGCCCTAAACCTAAATCTAAACCCTAAACCCTAAACCCCAAACCCTAAACCCCAAACCCTTAAACCCCCAAACCCTTAAACCCTTAAACCCTTAAAACCCCAAACCCTTAAACCCTTAAACCCTTAAACCCTTAAAACCCTAATCTAAGAAAACCAACACTGCGTCCCCGGCTGGTGGTCGCTGCCACTGGCAGCCCTAGACCCTTATAACTTATAACCTGTCCCGAATCCCCCTTAAGCCCTTCAGTGTAGCCCTTACTCCCTTAAGCCCTACACCCTCAACCGCTACACCCTAAACTCTTAAGCCCTAAGCCCGTTAAAGCGTTAACCCTAAAACCCTAAACCCTTAAACAATAAACTACACCACATCATGCTAGCTGCTACCCGTATTCAAGATGCTCTGTTGTAACCCTAAAACAAGCAAACCCCACTCGGCAACTGCGCAAAGTCAAGAACCTCAAAGTCGGGCGCAACAACCCTTCTGAGAAAGAGCGTCAAGATTTCCATTCCAACACTGCCCACCTGTTACGCTCCCACAGGAGTCGGGAGCATCGTCCGCTGTCTATAATTAGTCCCACACCCTAAGCGCAAGTACCCCAGAGCCTGAACGCACACACCCTTAACCCGGAACCCAAGAGAGCAGGCGCCGCAATTTTCCGCACACGATTTGGGTGTCCCAGTAGTGTGGGAGGTTCCTGAGTCGGCATCAGGCTTCGTCTTGGGTCGGCCGACAGCATTCGATTGAATTCTTTGGTGAGATGGAACGGTACATCTGGCGTTGGCACAAGAGTCAGTTCAAACTTCTTCTGAAGGGTTTTGCGAAGCTCATGGACCTTTTCTCTTGAAACGACCTCTTCATCTAGATCTAGCAAGATCGACACCAAAATCCATCGAGCAGAGTCATCTTTTGTCCAGTAGTGCTCTTTCCGCGCCCCCCGTGGCGGCTGTCGCTCCTTGTAAGAGAACCACGCTGCTGCTGGGGCCAATCCGAACAACCTGCGATGTTTTTCCTCCAGCCGCTCGACCTCGTGCATGAACCGGTTTGTTGGCCGATCGCTTAACGCACAAGGATGCACAAGAAGGAAGCTCCAAAAGTGCCAGCGTGCGGTGTCATCGTCTGACCAACTCTCCGTTTCATGACCAATACACCTAAGGCCCCGTTTCCTTGCAAGGAGTTGCTCGAACTCATCCACGTTGAACGCCCCCCTCCAGCGTCGTCTAGCGGCCTCTCTGCGTACCTAGGTTGTAGTTTTAGGGCCCTGAAAGTATCTATGAATAGGTACCTCTTTAGAAACCATAACCCTAAACCCTAAACCCTGAACCCTAAACCCTAAACCGTTTCCCAAACTGCCACCTAGGTACAGCGGCACTGAGCGAAACCGAAACCGCCACCTCCTGAACGACGGTCAAAGCAGACTCTTCCTCGGCCTCGGATCTTTTGGGGGTTCCTTTTCGGGATCTATAAAGGGGTCCTTTAAAGGACCTATAGAAGTTCCTTTAAGGTCTATAATAAGGGGCTCCTTTAAGGGACCTATAGGGGTTGCTTTAAGGTCTATAATAAGGGGTTCCTTTAATGGACTTATAAGGGTTCCTTTAAGGGACCGAGAGGGCCTTCCTGTAAGGTGCATAATAAGGGTTTCTTTAAGGGTCTACCTGGAGACTCCAATATCCCTTAATTACGGAATATACCTTAAATCATACTCTGATCCTACTATAATCTAAAGAATATTCCTTAATTAAGGGATATTGGTGTCTCTTGGTACAGGCCTCCCCCAAAACGTCTTCGTCACGGATGATGCGCTCTCCCCTGGCCAGCCGCTGGTCAACGGCCAGGAGTCCTGGGTTGCTCTTGGAGGCCCATTGAGACAAAATGGCTTTTCGAACCTACGTATTTTTAGTACATTCTTTAACTTCCTGGTGATATATATATATATATACATACATCTTTCCTCATGTTTCTTCAGAAGAATATATATGCTCTTAGATATTAAATGGGTGCTGAAGAGAACAGCCCAGAAGCGCCCCGAGGTCGCTTTTTCAATCGCCTCCTTCAGCTCTCGCCCGATTGAGTCCCCATTGCAACGGATGCTGCAGACGGGCCCATTTAGGCCGCGCACTTCCAGCAATACCATGGCTTCAGCTTTCGAAACGCAAAGGGTTTAGGCCTAGGGTTTAGGGTTTAGGGAAGTGTCGGGTGTAGCCGCTGTAGGGAGTTTGGTTTACCGACGAGGCTTTGGGATGCCAGAGGGGTTAAGAAGCGTTTAAAGTTACGGGCACAGCATATTTTAGCATACACATAATAAGATAGAAGATTGCATAATATCATGATATGTCACTTTCTATAGTGTTATCTTGCTCCAACATTAACTGCTATGGAGTTGGGACGTGAGGCCTAAGGATTTCAGCCGAGCGCTCCCGCGAAAACACGAGCTCGGACCCAAAAGCAATGAGTTTGGGGTATAGGATGGTTTAGGTTTAAGGATGTGTGTATATATCTACACACACACATATATATAATATATATATATATATATCATATTATATGTTTATATATATATATATATGATAGATGCTTTGCCGCCCTTAGCGAGGACCGAGAGCTCGGAAATCTGACCAAGACGCTTCTCGCGAGCTTCGCGCATGGTTTTGGCAATGGCTGCCTGCCACAATGGTAGCCAGAGCGGTGGTCTGAGTCTAGGGTTTATTATGCTTTGTAGGCTCTAGGGTACTTTAAGCCTTTAGGCATTCAGGCCTTGAGACTTGGGTCCTCTTTCGGGTTTCGGGCGTGGGGTTGTGAGCAGGGTTTCGAGGTTCAGCTGGAACCATAAAAAGACCCTGCAAGACCCATCTTACTTCCCAGAGACCCTTGTGTCAAAAAAGCTCAAACTTGGAGAATGAGAATGCCCGCGAACATTGAAAAGTTGGGCTTAGGACCACTAAGACATGTTACGACCCCGAACTCACCCTAAACTCTAACCCCTAAACCCTAAACCCAAAACCGAACTCAGAACCCTCTATGAGCCTTGAAAGAAACCCCAGGACGACTTACTGGAGGAAAGCTGCTGCGGTCCCAATGCGTTGACACAAGAACCCGCTATCATGAACCCCAGAAAGTTGGAACATACGTTTAGGACAGCTTGTGCTGGGTGCTGAAACTCCCTACTTTATTACAGATGAGGGAGGAACGAGGATAATGATGTTCCAACTTTCTGGCCCCAGGCCCTACAAACACCCAAAGCCCTACACCCCAAAATCCTCGATCCTGAACCCCCTAAACCCTACACCCCCAAATCCTAAACCCTAAACCCCTCAACCCCAAAACCCCAAAATCCTAAACGCTAAACCCCTCAACCCCAAAATCCTAAACCCCTCAACCCCCAAAACCCTAAACCTATGTAAAGGGGGCCCCTAAGCAGGTCGACCCCCGACCTCCATAGTTTTCGACCTCGGCTGGCGGCGTCGAAGACTGCTCTGCCCAAGAAGCTCCTGCTTACAAAGAGGATGTAGGTTTACTTGGAGGCCCAGGGGACTCAGCAAGTGGGTTCTAAGTAGAGTTATAAGTATACCCTAAATGGAGTTACCCTAATTATATCTTAGACGATACAGAGAGGATTTGAAGGAAGCTACAAGGTGAGGAGTTTAGGGTATATGGGGCTTCCATTACGGCTTCTGTAAGGTGTGTGTATATATATATATATAGACCTTCTGTAGGGCTCCTTTCACGGTAACTACCCGCCTGAAAATGTCCTGGCGGGATGTAGGGGGCTTAGGATGTAGGGTTTAGGGCCTCAGGGTTTGGGTTTTAGGGTTTAGGGCTTCCGGGTTTAGGGTTCGGGGTTTAGGGCTTCAGGGTTTAGGGTTTAGGGGTTAGGGCTTCAGGGTTTAGGGTTTAGGGGTTAGGGCATCGGGGTTTAGGGTTTAGGGGTTGAGGGTATAGGGTTAGGCTAGGGTTAAGGATGAGGAGGTCGTGAGGGTTCTTGGGTGTTTAATGCTGCATCATACGGGTTTAGGGTGTCGGGCCCGGTGTCGGGCGCATGCTTTGACAATGACCCATATGGCCACTAAGTTGTCGATGCTCGTTGCTGAGGTGTCGTTCCGCCAAGGATTTGTTTCTGGAGATTCTGTCGTGGCTCTAGGCGGGGTTAATTGCAGGATCCCGATATGCTTTTGAGTGTCTTAGGGGCTGAGTACCCTAGCCCGAAAAAGGTTAACCTTTCAAATATGGTAGGATTATACAAGCCCAAAAAGGTTAAANNGGTTACCTACTCAGCCCCTTAGGTGTAGGGAACGAACCGCCATCAACAAAACCCCGTAGCAGCCATAGGGTCGCAGCAGTATCCGTGTTAAGAAGGAAATTTCATCATGTACATGGTCTAATCTGGCATTTGGGGGGAGGGCTATACGATATATATATATGTATGTGAGGCAACCCTTAGGAAAACCACCGCAACAGATTCAGGCCGATAATTAAATTAAATGTAACCCTGAAACCAGCCAGGCTGAAATGTCGGTTCCCTAAACCCGAAACCCTAAACCCTGGCAGCATGCAGGGGTTTCGGGGCCAGGACCTCAATGCTCGCAGGGCATTGATTTGCGGCAGGTCCTAAATTCCTGTTCGCGCTCAACTCGAAAACAACCCCAAACCCTCAACCCTAA